CTTTACTTGGTGTACAGATATAACCTTTCCTAAAGGTGAAAAAAAAAACACAAAATGTTGTGAATCAGTGCTGTTTCACAGTATATACAGCTACCTGTCTGCAGTATTACCTTTAATTGTTGGCATTTTTTTGGAGCTTAGTGGACAATAAGGATCATTAATTTTTTTGAGTTGTGGTCAGAAAACAACATTTATTTTAGATAATTCTTCAAAATAAACAAAAATCTGGTTCTACAATCTGGATTTCAATCACTTAATGACGGTGTTCCCATTTACTCCAATATATAATGTTGACCCAAGAACATGATTTAATTTGGACGAGGGATGGATATACAGTAGGTGCCACCTCGGGGAGAAATATCTTAATGAAGAATGGAAAAGTAACTTTATTTTTGGAGGCATCTGTCAAACACAGGAAGAGAAATGTGACTGTTACAGAAGATCAAACTAACTTTTTGACACGACTCAACCTTGCAGCAGAAACTCTACCTGATAATAATAGTCTGAGTCGCTCATTAGATTCAGTACAATCTGAGGCTTTTTTCTTTTCTTTTTTTTTCACACATGGCAGAAGGATGAAGCTCCCAGAGCTGGAGGTTGAAGCCCTCCGTGACGCAGCGGTGGCTTCAACATTGTAGCTTCGTGTTGTATTTATATTCTCACATTAGATGCATTAACCTGACAGATTAAATGTTGTTTAGTTTAAAGTAGTTGTGGCCCGCGGGCTGTATCTTTGACAACCCTGCTCTAAACAAACCATTCAGTCCTTTTTAAACATATCCACAACTTAGAGTACACAAACATTTATGCATCAACATTATTAAATAATGTTTTTTTTTTTTTAATGAGAGGTTATTCTTCTCAACAGGCGTAGTTACAAACATGCTTTTATATCCTTGTGCACAAAGTAAATAATATACTGTCATTTGTTTAATAACGGCTATTTTTCAAATCGCTTTATTGGAACATACACTCTGTACAGATGATAGGTGTCAGCACATCCAGCACATTTATCCAAAGTCTCCATATTTGTCTCATCTCTAGTGCAGAAATTTGTGAATCCTTCAAGAATGGCTGAGGCGTGGCATCGCATAAAATGTGGCCGTAAACTGACCAGTGCCGCGTGACACCGAGCTCTCTGCAGCATATTGATGATGGAAGAGGAGACTTTATGTCTCGTCAGCCATGCGTTCATTTAATGTGCTATAAAACGATTGGAAGGTTGCAAAAACCCACACTTGTCAGTGTGCACTTCTGCAGGAGTGAGTGTAACGTCACGTCACATCTGAATACCGTTCCAGGCTGGAACAGTCATTTACTGCAGGCGGTTTAATAAAGTATATTTGACGTCGCAAGACTTTCGTGATAAATATTTAATGATTCTTAATGGTCTTAAAGCTACAAGCAAGATCACTGGGAAATTGCAATATCATGCAGATTTATTTGCAGGTTCTCTGAGACAGATGAGCAAGGATAAGGTAGAGAAAGCAGCAGCATAACAAAATTTCTCATCTGATTTTTAGCCATATGTGACTCAGCTGCAGGTTAGTCGAGTGCAGTTCTTCTCAAATAGTGGGGCGGGCCCCTCTGGGGGGCCGTGGTGAGTTGCCTTCCAATGGAATATGGCACGCTGGACATCAGTGTATCACTGCTGTAATGCTTGAATGTTAACAAGCCTCCAGTCACTAGGTGGCAGCAACTCATACAGTGGTTGGTACAGATACAATTATACGTTCTTATCACGGGGGTTGATATATTGGTTCTCAAAGTGGGGGGCTAGACCCCGTTGGAGGTCACAGAAGGCGAAGCAGGCAACAGGTCAAATTAATTAAATTCCGATTCATTTTTTTTTATTTGTGCCTAATGAGAAAAATGTACTGATTCTTAATTGTTTGTTTTTTTTGATAATCTAGGGATGGAAGGTGAGGGGTGTGGGTGGGGGGGGGCGTTGCTCAACACACCCAATGCATGTGTGTGAATTCTAACCAACAACTAATCAAATCACTAAACCAGTCCTCCACAATATACAATTGAATGGTCTATAAATATACGTGACCTTACACATTAACTAACATCGTCAGTAAAGTAAAATAACAATATATAAAATCATGTGTGAAAAAAGGTTTTGTTTCCAACGTTGTATTTTGTAGAAAATGAAAAGTTCAGATCATTCTAAATCTAATTTCTTTGGATTGATGTGATTTACACAACAGCCATAGCAGCAACACAGAAATAAAGGATGAGATGAGATAGAACAGCAGTTGTGCCACATGGAGAGTAAAGCTTTAAAAAAAAGATTTTATAGTAGGAAAGTAATTATCTACAATAGTCATGGTTCTGTGCACACTCCGTTTTGGGTTTAGTGAAAAACCACAACAAATAATTCTAGATTTATTTTTAACAGAGACTAATGTTGAACAATTTGTACCACATGCTGCCTAAATAAATCTGAACAGTCGGCGGTAGATTGGGCCAAAGTGGATGAGCATTAAATAGTGGAATAAATAATGTCACAATCATGTAGTCACTCATCCTCTGTGGGTGTGGAAAATGTGGTGTGTGTCGCTTCTCACTTCAACATAACACTTATTACAGAAATGTAACCAACCAACGCGGAGTGAGACAGAAAGATTATGCATTGTATCTTCTTCAGTGATAATAATAATAATAATAATGCAAAAATATTAATCTTCATGAAATACAGTATGTTAGCATATAAAATGGGTGTGCACAATTTCACTCTCTTTTTCACAAAATGACTGAGTGATTAAAAAAAAATCCACATTAAGTTTGCCTGCCTGGTCCAATCTCTGGTAAATGAATTTTAGTTTGGACTGTTTAAATAAACTTCCTGCACCAGATCCATGTCTCTCTAGTGCTGCATTTTGGTCTTGCCTGTTTCTGGGTGTGCTAAAGCGTAAACACGAGCAGTTAAATCACAATTGACAGGAGGAACCACAAGGTGGCAGAAGTGGTCAGTGCGCTTGTAGTAAATTCACGTAGTTGAAATTATTGGTTTTGTAGTCTGAAAAACTATTATTTATTTACTGCAGGTGGCATCAGATGGCTAGAAAAGCTTAAAAAAGGAGAGAGACCCAGAGTTGTTTAACGCTTTAGTGCATATTGAATGTCGTGATGAAGGCTCTGCATCTTAAGGTGGCGTTTTTTTTTTGTCTGGTTTTGTTTTCAGTGACCATGTGAGTTTGTTGTGTTACCTTTGTATGGTGCCATAACTTTCAGTGCACAACAAGTTCAGTGCACTGGCTTCTCCGTGTATCTGCACTCTGTAGTCATTCAGTCTGTTTGGGGGCGAAATACAAGGAAAACAAGAGGCTGGCAAAATTATCGAGTGATCAATGGATATATTGATTATTGCCCCAGGTCTGTCTGTTGCTCTGTGGAGTGGGTCAAAGAGCCATGTTACATAGACAGGTATATACTGTACCTGCATGACATAAAGGTGTCGGGAGTTTGGCGCCTACTGTACGTCAAACTCTTGTTCCTAGGTCAGTTGTCAGTTGTGGTATGTATGTATGTCTTTTTTATTAGTTTGTAAGAGACAGTGAGCAATTCATCCATGGATGGATGGTCAAGGGTGGTATTGTTTTATCATGTGTGTTTTTGTGTTTTTTCCGGATGTTTGCCATATTCTATGTGTGCTGGGAGCAGAGTTCACAGAGAGGTCAACAGACCAGTTACAGCACACATCATTTTAGACAGATGCTGAGGAATCAAAATCAGCACCTTATCACTATTTCGGTATATTTATTATATAAAAAGATGACTTTTTTTTTCTTTTTTTTTTTTTTGCAACTGCTCTTGTTTTAGTGACTGAACAGCTCTTCAGGTTTTGATATCCTGCTGAGTTGCATTTTCGACTTAACAGTAAAATGCTGTGTAAGCCGGTCAAGTGTCAGGCACTTTACTGACGGAGCGGGAGCTTCGACTACAGTATGGTAGATTAACCTACAAATTGAACTTTTCACCAGGATACTGTCCTGTTTGATGTGGAGGTAATATTTAAAAACTTCCATCTGGTCTGTGTGACTCATTCCATCATTGAAGTCACTGCTTTGAATGAAAGCCATCAACATGACAGTTTTTTAGTGTTCAACAGTGAACTTCAAAAGTTACACGCACGGATTTCAACATTAAAAAATGTTGAAATCTCTAACTGTTCATTTTTAAATTATGGTGGTCTAATGCCTGATGGTGAATATATTATATATGTATGACAATTATTATTATTTTAAGTGTCACTTATGTTTCAATGACAAAAGTCATTACTAGGAATCTCCGATATTAGCATATTTCGTAATATCTGTAGGATATTCATATCTCAACCCAGCCTCGCAAAATGCATTTTCCTCCTCACACTCTCCGCACTCTGTCTTCCTCATACTCCGCACTCTCTCTTCCTCATACACACGCGATCTCACCACGCCACCTCACTCCCGCTCCCATACCCGTAACTGTTAACTTCATAACACATGAACACAGAACATTTTGAATGATAAATAAGTCACTAGATGGCAGCAGAGCAGCTCATTTTAATAATCTATATTGCTATCAGGGGATTGTATGCAGAATGGTGCCAGCAACTCTTACAGTGGTGTGTACAGATAAATAAAAATAAAAATATTACCAGGCGTTCAATAGTACTTTAATTCTGTCCACTAGGGGTGGCAGAAAATAATTAAGAATCACTGTTTAAACCCATGACCTTAGTGAGCAGGCAACACTTAATTTCCACCACTGCCGCACTATATCGGTATTTGTTGGTATCAGAATCGCAAATTAAGTGTTTGGACAATATTAAATATCGGCAAAAAGTTAATATCGGACATCCCTAGCCATTAGTCGTCAAATTATTGGGCGAATGTAAATTACAGCATGTCTCATTTTGTCCACCTGCTCTGCAGTAAAGACCTTCTTTATCCCACCTTAAATTCACAGCAGTCCCAGGTTCTACAGCTGAAAGTGGTTTTTATGTCCCACAGCTCGGTGGAACGCGGGTGAGAAGCAGCTGGGTTGGTGGTATCACATGGGGGTGCACGCTGTACTGCAGGTAAGCCATCCATCAGGGAGACTGCAGCTCCCAAAGGTGGTCTCTTCACTGGCCCCACTGCTGCACACACACTCCTAGTTTGCTCTAGTTCTGAAACACGCACACTCACATGTGCAGACACCCGCACAGCCATATGCACATTCACACAGTCCAAGACATTGACAAAATAGACTGTAGTACAAAAAAAATGAATAAGACCGTAATAAGTTTGAGGACTAATTTTAGGCACAGCATATTCAGCAATTTAGGATCAGAATATTTCTAAAAAGCCAGCAATTTCACTATCACACAACTTGTGTGCACATATACGCGTATTCATTCATCGGATACATATATGTAAAAAAAAAAATCACAACTTGCATTGTTTTTTTTAGCTAACTGCTTACTGAAGCTAACTGATTTCTGATAACTGATTGAGTTGTCAAAAACTGCCTGACATAGTTATGAAATGAATTACTAGACCAAATAATGTTGTTGAGGTCAAAGACTTCATTGAAGTTTTGAAAGTGATTCTTGATACGTTCTACATGCCAAGGTCAAGAAGCACAATCATGACAAAAATCCACCAGCTCTATGATGCTTTAGACTTAGACTTTTGACTATTTTTCCTTATTAATACATGCATCATTTGGATTAGTCACAGAAATACTTGCTGCTGTCTGTCTTTCTGTTTGGCAATATACAAAAAATATCGATTTAGTTGATGTTGTTGATTAATCAGATTTGTATTTTCCTGACTATCTATACTATAAGTCACACTGCCTTTGGCTGGGTTTGCGACTTATACTCAGGTAAAACTTATATACATATACATATATATAAATATATAAATTCACATTGGTTATTTTTGCACTGGTACACAAGCCTAGAGTGCATATATATAAATATATAAATTCACATTTGTTATTTTTGCACTGACGACTGCTAGAGGGCACTCTAGGCTTGTGTACCAGTATCTGCTACTCCTGTGCCACTGAAAATGTACATGTTCATTCTCGGAATGCCACTGAAAATGTACATGTTCGTTCTCGGAACGACTTATATATGTTTATTTCTTCTTCATTATGCACTTTTTGGCTTGTGCGACTTTTACTCCAGAGTGACTTATAGTCCAGAAAATACATAATCGTAATTATGCCACAGCTTATTAATTCTAGTTTTGGGCCAACTGTATATATTTTAATAGAAAATTCCCTGTTTTTTGGGTCAGTGTCCATGTTTGCGTACCTCAGATACAGCGAAGGCGACGTATTATCCAGTCATGGAGCGATCAGCGTGATGTCTGTGTTTCATGGTCCAATTGTCATGTCTGCATGTGATGCTTTGATTTGAGACTTCACGTCTCACTGTAATGTGGACCTGCAGAGAGGACTGAGGTGAGGGAGCGCATGAATATCCAGTATATTAAGAGATTATGCATATTCCATAATTCATCACATGAATTATTAAAATCAAGTGATCTTTGTTCTCTCGCTGTATGGCTCCAGCAGCCTCCTCATAAAGGTGCCCTCTGCATGTCATGTCTAATTGCTGAAGAACACCGTCTGTTTTGATGGTTCTTGTCTCGCCATCGGAAATGACCCTGAATTTAACTGCGATGCATATTTGTATACGATGCCAGTGTGATGCTGTGCCTTTGGTGGTGATACCGGTGTCACATCTGGGATACGGAGTGACACGAGTGTGATTAATGTGAGAATACAAGACAATGAAAAATCATTATGCAAATGAAAAAATATCCCATCATTTCACCTGCACGGTAATTTTATCCAGACACATGGTTGTCAATTACTGTAATTGTGGTGGCTGCAGCTCATGTCAGTGTTTGCCAAAGCATAGATCAAGACATCTGGATGTTCAATGGTGGGGGTTTATGTGAACAGAAATGTATTTTGGCCTCTTTATAGTGGACAACGTTATGGTTTTAACTATCGAGCCAATATTATCAGTTGGCTGATATTATCGGCACGATATTAGCATGTAATATCTGCAAGACAGACAGACCTTCTGTGATCCTTATCAGGAGCCTGTTCATGCCGTGTCTTAGTGAATCTCTCCCAGCTCAGGACTAAGGTCTATAAATTTGGCTCCAACTAGAATCCAACAGAGGCCTGTAGGGCCTGAATGGTCTGACTCCAGAGACCCCCCCCCACACACACACACAGCATCCCCTTCGCCCACCCTCGGTTGCCAATTACTCCACTTATGCCAGTGACCTCCCGTTTCTTCTTACCTCCACCGCTCTCTCATTCTCTCACCACCTACTGAATATTTCAGAATGCCTGGCAAAGGCCATAAATTGTATCATACTGCAATTATCATTGTTATTTAAAAATTAAATACAACTCCCCGGAGCCTGTATTGAATAATGCAGAATGAGGGCGGTGTAACAAAACACAGAGGCACTCCGTCTTCATGTGAAATAATATTATTACAAGAGCAGCGTGTAGGAAAATCAGCAGGACAACATGTGCCGTATCTTCAGTCTTGGTGTCACAGCAAAGGCCTGCTTGGCTGCATGCTAGATGAAGAAATAAAAAAAAAATAACAAGAAGACAGAGTGCCTCTGTCGTCCTCGTTCCATGGCTGTGTGCATTATTCAATGTGTACAAGACTCCTGGGAGTTCTTCTCTTTTTTTGGTCCTGATTCACTAAGGAGCACTTTTCACATCAGTTCGAGTAACACAGGGTTTCGTTGTTGTCTTTTGTGAATGATTCATGTTTTTTTTCTTGCCTTGGTCAAAGACAGTTTTGTGGTTTTGGAGAGAATTATCAAATGTTTCGTAAACATTTGTTCCTCCCTCATTACAACTCATATCCTATTCAGTTCTCTTCTCTCCCCTATTATGCTTATTCACTCTCCTTAGCTCCTCTCCTCTCCTCTCGTTTCCCCTTCTTTCCTTTCCTCTTCTCTCCTCTTCTTTCCTCTACTCCCTTCGCCACTCCCCTCTCCTCCTCTCCTCTCTCCTACCCCCCCTCACATTAACAGACAGGACAGATTATATAGTTCACCTATAAACCATCATCATATTTCTGTATGCACTGTGAATTTTGTCCTTTATGCCTCAAACCCTCCTCAATAACCTGCAGAGTAGACATTATGTGATATCAGGCGTCTTGACATTCTCAGAATTGTCTTCGGGTTGAGAAGCTTGTCTCTGTCTCTGTTTCTCAGGCTGCTGTCTTGACAGATTTTTTTTTTTTATTATTACGAACTCCTAAAAAAAAAAAAAACCTCAAATGGCCCGAAGAGCCTTCACATTCCCACCGGAACGTTGTGCACAGCACATATTTTCATATTTGTCGAGTCTCCGGTGAAATTGTCTCTTAAATACCAAATTTTATCTTTTCTTTTCTGGAAGAAAAAAAAATGCTTGTGCTAACCTGGCGCTGTCTTGTCTGTCCTCATCAATCTTCAGTAAGTAAAAGTAGGAAAGTGACATGTGACCATGCAGCAAGTTATAAATGTTAATAAAGACAGGGTTTAGGAAGGTTCAGCTAATGCACACTACATGAAGTACCTTGAATATGTCTATTCTTGCCACGTATGGTCGTGAACTGTCATATTTGTAGTTCATATTTTGCAGTCCAGTCAAGAATTGTTCGTCACTGGCTGATCCTAGCAGTAGTACTGGTATGGGTGTCACGACACCCCTGACTTCCAAACAGCTGTTCTAAAGCGACGCTTACACACACACACACACACACACTGTCTGTGGCTGTAGCACGTGTTTTTCCTGACAGATTTCTCCTATAGAAAAGCTCAAAGATGGAGCTTATCATATCACAAAGGGGAAAAAAAACCCACATATTCCCCGTCCTCCATTTTGCTGGGATGTGAGATAACAGTTCCATCTGGCCTTTAGCCATGTCAGTTAGCTCCTCCGTTCACTGAATAAAGATGCAGAGCCAACCCTCACAAGTACTCACAGCACCAGGGACCGACACTCAATAAAATCAGCTTGGGGAATCTCTCTCGTCTTAAGCTTTCGATAATACGATCCCTTACTATCAACATTACCATATAGGGTCTGGCAGCCGGGGAAGGACGCAGGCCATTGGGTTTAAAAGAGATAATTGATTTTCTTTTTTTTTTTTCGCTATAAGAGGATTTGGGATGTTACATAGATAAAAGGACCTGTTTCAAAGGTTCAGCTTTTGGGCATTAAGGCTACATTATACCTGACTAGAGAAGTATCTGATCATCTATTCTGTCAGGCGTACCAGTACAAACACCGAGGGTTAAAGTCCTCTGTTTGCCTGTAGACAGCTATAAAAGAATTTCAGAGAGCAGAGAAAAAAAATAAAAAATACTGTGCGCAATTTAATCTTTTGTTCACACAGCACTTTTGTTTCTACGAGGTAACTAATTTCGTTCTCAGCGGAAAAATCAATTAGAGGGTTCATTACTTTGTTTTTTTAACGGCAGTGACAGGAAAAACAAAAGCTTTTTGTCTGATTTAAATGTCAAAAAGGTGAAAAAATGAACAAATCGGCAGCTGCCGGGCTCGTGGACCGAGAGCTATTAGACCACACGGGTCTCCAGCCAAATGGAGTTCACTCCCCTCGGAATAAAAGAAAGAGAAACGCCAGGCAGGGCGGATGAATGACAGATGAGTTATTTCCATTTATGAGGCTTGAGAATGCTCACACTGATCCACATGTCGACCGAGTCTCTCTGTGATTGAAATGTGTGAGAGACAACAAGCCGGGAGAAAAAGAAAGAGAGAGAAGGAAAGAGGGAGTGAGAATGTCTGGATGGTTCCGCCCCTGCAGCTCTGCCACATTATGTTTCTGGCCCTCACATTTTCAGATGAAATGACCCACATATTCAGCTTTACACTTCTTTCACCCAGCACGCATACGGCATTGCAGGTGTTGCTTCAACAAAGTACATTGTGGCCTATATGCCTCCGACTCTGAATTCTCTGCTCTCTCTTTCTTTCTTTCCTTCTTTGTTTCTTTTGCGGACGTCACAGGAAGTGTTATTTTCTAACACA